AAGGCATTTTTTTTTTTTTTTTGCACCCTCAGTTCCAGATTTTCAAATAGTTGTATCTCGGCCAAATATTGTTATATTCTAACAAACCATACATCAATGGAAAGCTATTTATTCAGCTTTCAGATTACACACAAACCTCAATTTAAAAAAAAAAATCTGACCCTTTTTTTGTTTTGTTTTGTGGTTCAGGGTCACATATGTTACACTGATGAAATATATAAACTGAAACCAATAGTAATTTGACTGAGAAAGCCCTTTGTTTTTGTTTATATAAACTGTACCCTCAATTATAACACGAGTTTTATATCATCTATAATTCGAGTACTGTTAATCAACTTTTTGCTAAAACATCTGACACACAAACACTTACTAGACACAGCATAAAAACCTCGTGATGAGTTACTGCTGGTCACTTGGCAGGACTCAAACCAAACTAGTTGCATATCTCTAGCTGGTCAAGCAGACTGATCAAAGGCCACATCAGCAGGAGGCCTTCCAGCACTCACCTCGTTTACAATGTAAACACTCTCTCAAAACAGTTTGCTCCAATAACGACTACGATTCAATAATAAAGGACAGAGTATAAGTGTTGCATGTTAAAGCTGAGGAATTCTCCAAAACCTCATATTACAGCTCTACTCGCAGTTTGTGACCCAGAGAGGGCAAAATATCTGAACTTATCCTAACTTAAGTTCACTGTAATAGATGTCTACTAAAATTACACAAATTACTCACCGTCGCCGGTTTAAATAAGCGTGTCTCTTGCTCTGAACTGAGATGTTAAAGTCCTAAGCGAAGGAAGAAGACCTTTTAGCGTGGATAATGCTGTAAGTTACTCCCACTGATGATAGCGCGGCTGCCTCAGCAGCCAATCAGAGAGGCCGCTGCTGGCGTAATAAAGAAGAGGTTTTGCGATGCCTCGTAATGTTTTGGATCATTCCGATTAAGTTTATGTTGTTATTCAAACATACATTTGATTCAATGTTTCTAATACAAGTGAACACACTGTCAGTGTTCACAGAAGAAACCCATGAAGAGGGAGCGCCGTCGACGCCGACCTCTGAAATCTCGCGCGAGTTTACGCGCCTCTTCTCGCCTCCCATTTCCGCTCTAAATTTTCACGTTCCCGCCATCATCGGCTGCTCGTGGGACGCGAGCGCAGATAACATCGTAGCCGGCAAAACTCACACACTGACAGCGAGCCACATTGAGCGGATACCTTCATTCTCCAGCGCCTTCTTCAAGGAATTTCCCTCCCGCAGGTAAACGAGATGCGGTTTGTGAGCAGAATTTGCCCGCGTTTTTATCAGAACGGTCAGTTAGCGGAGCCAAGCCTGTCGCACGGCCTGGGCTGCTAATGCTAGTTAATTAGCTGCGTGTGGATGCTGCGTGTGTCATTAGTTGTTTTACAGCGGAGTGTGAGGATACTGCAAAACAAAGACGCGTTTCTGCGAATTAGACGAGAGTTAGTTTGTTTTAAGGCGGGAACGCGAACGCTTGAAGTGTGTGTGCGGTCCCTTGGGAAGCTAGTCAAGTTGGTTCATTTAAAGCGCGCGTAATGTTTGTTGTGAACAAACCTGATGTGTTTGTTTACTTTCACCTTCACTCGCTGGAAGTCCTCGAAACATGCGGAACTCGGGGCTCTTTGTGATAAGACCTTATAAAGGAGAGCTTCGGGCATCGTTTTCACGCATGACTTGGTCAGTAAGTTCACTTTAAGATGTCAGAAGTTTGTCATACTTAAGCTCAAGGCTTTTAAAGCAACACTTTTGTGATTTGACTTAATGATTTAGTTTTATATTAAGTGGAGCGTTTGCGAAGATTTGAATCGAGAAGTGATAACTGTCTGTCTAATGTAGATTTTACACTGGCGCTTTTTGTGTTCCGTTAGTTGTCGTTGATAGTTTTAAACGACCGGGTCATTATTATAGAGATATTGTTAAATGACATTCACGCGTGACTTTGAGTCGCTGTTGTTTATTATTTGTGAGTCCCATTCATTTCCGACACGCGGGTTGTGTGCTTTCTGCTAAAGCCGTTGTAAACCCGTCTTCGCTAATGTTTGCGATCGTACCGGTGTGATATTTACGTTTCTGCGTCTCAAGCTGTTTCATGTTGGACATTGTCTCTCGTCTTTTGTTGTAGATCTCTGGCCGCATCTCTTCGCCCTCGATTGTGTCCAGAGCCGGAGTTTTGAGCGCCTCATGGCTGTCGCAGTGCCCAAGCTGACCAGCGGTGGCGCTGTCCGCATCCGCATCAGATGTGGGGAGCTGGGGACCGCCAAATGGAAAGAGGGGGTCTTTGAAATCCACGAGAGAGACAACAAAATAAACCTGCTAGTCAAGTTCAACAGTGGCGGTACTCCGAAGATGTTTCAGGTACAGATCTGTCTTTGCATTCGCAGCCGAAAGCCTGCCATATGATAATTGTCATTACAAATGATGCTGTTTGAGTATCATATTTCATACATGCAGACAGTGGGAGTAACGCAATAGTGTAATGCATTACTTTTAAAAGTAACTTTCCCCAACACTGCATGCAGACTTTTCTGTTTCATAAAGTATGATATAGTGAGGATATGAAGCTTGAAAAGGAAAAAAAAATGCAATTTGGTGCAGTTGCTGATATTTATATGGCCAAACAATGAAATTCTGATGGTTAGGTTAACAGTATTGCAGATTACTTGCATTAAATGCTTATAAATATCACTTGTCAGTCTGTATCTCATATTAATGTCTCTAAGATGATTTTTAAATGCTTAGTTTATGATTAAAACTCTGTTTGAGAGATGAACAAGTAAACATTCCTCAAAAGCCTGATGGCTCATATTTGGTACTCACATTTTAACAATTTTTCTATAAAAAAAAAGCATGGATAATCAGGTAAATCTAATTTTGAGTTCGAGTAAATGTTCATCTTGAAATATTACTAACAGTATAAAACACATTTTATCTTCATAAGTAAAGATTGAACAGCAAAAAGACCTGCAGGTGGACATTTTCACAATTATACTAAAAGGCTTTTTATTTGTTGAAAAGTATAACCTATTAATCAGATGACTGAAGGCATGTAGTAGATTGTGTGCATCAATTTTTTGATAATGTTGATAATTAAATCCTTAGAAATGTGTATGAAATACGATGAAGGATGTTTATAGGGTTAAGAAACATCTGCAAGGTTCTCCTTCGAGACACAGAGCGTCATTTTAAGACATGGGCATCAAATGCATTTTGTTGAATGCTATTTAGACTTGTTTATTTTGTTGCAGCTGAATCACAACGTTAAGCAGGTCTCATGGTATCAAACGCATGGCCCAAACCGTGTGACTTTGACTCTGAAAGACTCAAGCGTTGTCATGATGGACAAACTGTCCTTGTTGGTTGCTAAAAAAATGAAGGAATACCTTGAAATGGTGAGGCTTGGAAAACCAGCAGGTATGTTTCTTTTGACTTGTGTTTGTAGTTTTCACCTCACTGTCCATTCGTTTTCAAGTCATGATAAGTTTTGTTTTTGTCATTTTTGATCTTTCTTTAGTTTTAAAGACAAACCAGGGGAGTGCTAGTTTTGGCTTAGTTCTTGGGAATCGCGCAGCACAGAATGACTCTGGCCTTTCTCCATCAGAAAAACAGGTAGCGTAGCATCACAAGCACTGAAATGCTTATGGATTCTTTTCTAAATATTATATGATTGACCTGCTGTTTCTTTCAGAGCACTCCAAGACGTCCAAGTCTGGACAGCAGAGAGGACAGCACACCGAGAAAGCCTCTCGGGAGTCCCAGCCGGGTAACTTCCACACCTGGCCGCAATGGGCTCTCTGAGAACAGGTGTGCAAATTTAGATTTGGGTACAGTGTCTCTAGAAAGCGTGTGCACTTTTTGCTCAGTTATGTTGTTTGCTTGCATGTTATCTTAGGTTTCAGTAATTTAATGACTGTCAATTTAATAAAGATTGTCCTGACCACAACTAAAGTTTTTGTCCTGTAGGAGTGAGAAGAGGAAGAGGCTGATGAACTCTGATGGTGATATGACAGAGGACTACCCCAAAGAGAATGACTCTTCTAGGTAAACGAGACTTCATCTTAGCGCAGATTCATTTTGATATGCTAATGTTCAAAAGTTCGGGGTCAGTAGGATCCCTCCCCCCATTCTGAAAGAAATTAAGTCCCGTTTAGAAAGGATGCATTAAATTAATCAGTAAATACATCGTTACAAAAAATGTTTTAATAAATGCTGTATTTATAAAAGTCTCTTAAAAACATTTAAATATTTTCACAAAAATATTAAGCAAAATATTTGATGCAGCTTTGCAGCCTTAGCAAACATTAAAAAAAAAAACTCAAAAGTTTTGAATTGAGTGCTCTTAAATGCAAAGAAACTTTCTCTAATATTGCCTGTTTTTAGCAACAATAAGGCCATCACAGACTCATCCAGAAAGTTTCTGCTCAGCTGCAAAGAGAAACTCAAGCAGTCAGAGGAGAACAGGGCAACTGGTTGGTGTCTATTCACATTTTATCTTCTGTAGTGGCTTCCCTCTCTGCTTTATGACATATGCTTATTACTTTATTTCCTCAGCTCCACACACGCCTGCCCCTCTCCAGCCAACATCCTTTTATGGAAGCAGAACGGGAACTAAAGATTACTCACAGACTCATTCAGTTTTGGACAGGTAAAGAGCCTCTGACTCAGTGTTGTTACTCATTGTCAATAGGCTGTGCTTTCTAAACCGGTGTTTCCTGCAAAGTTCTGTGATGGCGCTGCTGAATTTACAACGCCACAGCAATAATGTAATCTGAATGTGATAAAATTACTCCGTAATGGTAAATAATGTTGGCACAACAAGTGCATTGTCTTCAGACATACAGTGTGACTAGTGTAGTCCAGTTCACAAACAAATTACTTTTTATGAGCCAGTTATTTTACTGAATATCACAAGCAAGTATTATCGGTTTTATTATCGGTATCAGATTTAGCGGTTACTAAACCACGTCTGTTTTGATATTTTTTCCTTTACAGGCCCAGCAGTACAGGCCAGTGTCCCTCTGCTAAAAGAAGCCTAATGTTACCCAATCACTCAACTCCCTTTAAAAAGGTGCGCCCAACTTTGGACTACGGTGGCTGGAACAAACCAAGACCATCCGCGCTGGCTCAGCCGCAGCCTCCACTACAAGGGTGAGTGTTGAAAGCTCGCTAATATAGGGTTCTAGGAAATGTTTTATTTCTTCCCCCAAATTCTGTTTAATTTTAGTTTTTGTATTTTTTTTATTCTGTTTTTATATGATACCAATTTAAAATGGTGGTAATCAAATGAATGCATAAAACCTAGCTGTTTCATTTCTTTTACAATGCATCAAATGAAAATGAAAATTTTTGCAACTTTATTAGTGTTTTACTGTATTATTGCTGAGAGATACATTCTACTATACATTTAAAATGCATATATATTAGTTTAAATAATACATTGTATTGTACAGTCAGTATTATTGCTATTATTTTGCCATATTGAATGACATTATTTTTTGTCTTTAGCTTACTGCATGCCTCTTACTTGATTGTCCAATAGATTCTCCAATCTTGGGAACACCTGTTACATGAACGCCATACTCCAGTCACTTTTCAGCCTGCCCTCCTTTTCGAATGACCTGTTAAAGCAGGGCATACCATGGAAGAGGGTCCCCGTCAATGCCCTTCTGAGGTATGGTCATGCTGTTGTTTTTTCCCTCGAAATTATGTACTTTTTGGACTATTCTAAACATTTGTTAGAAATTCGAAATGTAATGATTATCCAGTCACAAGCCTGTTGATGTTTTGTTTTTGTTTCCATATGAAGGCGCTTTGCTCATCTGCTGGCTAAGAAAGACATTTCCCCTCCAGAAGTGAAGAAAGATCTTTTGCGGCGAGTGAAGAACGCTATTTCCTCAACAGCTGAGCGCTTCTCTGGTTACATGCAGAATGTAAGACGTGATATCTTTATTGCTAATGCAGATGCATCGGACTTGAAGCCCGTTCACACCAATGATAACTCTTAACATTTGAATAATAATAACTCTAATTATTTTAATAATCACATT